ATGGCTGCGAAGCGAGGATCACCCGGTGAACTTCTTCAACCGCACCGTTCACATTCGTGATCGGAACGGAGTACTAGTTCCATGCACGGTGCCTCTTCCTCATCCTTCTATCAACTGCCACGTGGTATCCGCCGCAAGCATGCGAGCATCCATCATCAGAGACGACATCGAGGAGATGGGGGTATGTTTTCTCCACGCCCTCCCGCCCCGAGACGCTTCATTGACGGACTCATCTTCGGATCCACGCATCACCGAGCTTCTCGACGCTTACAGCGACGTGTTCGAAGGCCCGCACGGAGTAGTACCAGATCGGCCCATCCGCCACGAGATCATCCTCGAGGACGGGGCCGTACCTCCGCGTGGCTGCATCTACCGAATGAGCGAGGAAGAGTTAAGTGTGCTCCGTGCACAACTCGACGATCTTCTAGAGAAAGGTTGGATTCGGCCTAGCTCATCGCCATACGGTGACAATCAGGAACGCCGGCCCTCTCCCACGCATCGACGACCTTCTCGAGCGATTGGGCAGCGCCCAGTTCTTCTCTAAGCTGGATCTCAAGTCAGGGTACCACGAACTCGAGATTCACAAGGAGGATCGCTACAAGACCGCGTTTGAGACACGATATGGGCATTTTGAATGGCTGGTCATGTCGTTTGGCCTTACGAATGCCCCAGCCACTTTCCAAGCGGATATGACAACAGAGTTCTGACACATGCTGGATCGGTTTGTACTCATCTACCTCGACGACATCTTGGTGTATAGTCGGAGTTTGGACGAGCATGTGGAACACCTGCGCACCGTTTTGGAGCGGCTACGACAAGCCAAGTACAAAGCAAACCGCGACAAGTGCGAGTTCGCACATGAGGAGCTGGAATACTTGGGACACTATGTGACGCCGCAAGGCATCCGTCCGCTTGCGGACAAGATCGAGGCCCTACGAGTATGGCCCGAGCCCACCAACACCACGGACGTTCGTTCATTCATGGGATTGGCGGGCTACTATCAGCGATTCATCATCGGATACTCCAGGATTGCTGCACCTATGACGAGGTTATAGTCGCCAAAGGTGCCATTCGTATTCAATGATGCCGCACGCCGGTCATTCCAAGCACTTAAGACGACTATGCTCATGGCACCCGTCCTTAGCATTTATGACCCCACCCTGCCGACGCGAGTGACTACGGACGCTTCCGGCTATGGCATTGGGGCAGTCTTGGAACAGCACGACGGCGATGACTGGCACCCTGTGGAGTATTTCAGCCACAAAGTGCCTCCCATCAACTCGCTTGATGATGCAAGGAAGAAGGAGCTGCTCGCATTCGTCATGGCTCTCAAGCGATGGCGGCACTTCCTCCTTGGGCGTCGTAGGTTCACATGGGTCACGGACAACAATCCATTGACTTACTACAAGACGCAGGATATGGTGAGCAGCACGATCGGATGATGGATGTACTTCATCGACCAATTTGACTTCACACCGAAACATCTGACCGGCCTCTCAAATCGGCAGCAGATGCACTCTCGCGAAGACCCGATCTTTGCGCTATGACACATCATGCCTTCGCATTCGATGAGGAGCTTCAGCGACACTTCATCCGGGCATATCAGTCTGATTCGGACTTCGGCACGCTCTATGCACAACTATCTTCGGATCACCCGCCGGCCAGCCATTACCGCATTGCCGACGGGTACTTGCTCCTCCACTCGAGAGGCAAGGACTTACTATGTGTCCCACGCGACCGTCGTCTTCAGACTCGCCTCCTTGGCGAGTATCATGATTCACGACTCGCCGGCCATTTCGGAGTCAACTGCACTATTGCGCGGCTTCGACAGCGATTTCGATGGCCCGACCTCATTACCGATGTCACTCGGTATTGCGACTCTTGCGAAGTTTGCCGACGCAGCAAGCCCCG